CATCTCCATCATGTGGCCCATGGAGTTCATGTTGCCGTTGGCGATGGCACCCGGGTGGTGTGAAAGTGCAGCCTTCAGCCTCTGAGTAGACAGAATGAACACCAAATATGATGTTAAACATAATTTTCTATGAATGCATTTAAAAGTTTGTACATGCTCCCATCTATGAGTGTGCTGGTTATCAACAGTTAGAGAGCAGGATCATGTGCTGACTATATGATGAATGGCTCCATAAATCCATATGTCAGGAGAACAAATCAAAGCCACTTAGGCTGTCCTCTGTCTCTCCTTCAGTCTTGTCATTCTCCCTCTTTACCCCCCGTGATTGCCATCCCACCAGTCCCTTCTCTTCATATTCCTAATAGCCTCTCTCTCTTCTCTATGCATGTGTGTGTGTGTGTGGATGTCTGCCTGTGAGATGAGCTTGCTGGCAACTACTCCCTTGCTGATGACCAGCAGGAGGTTTGTTGCTCTAACCGTGTGGTCTACTTAGCCCTGACTGAGCCGGTGTCTCAGAGTGGCCTGGGACGGAGACCAGAGAGACGCTCTCTCAAGGTGTGTCCGTGTTTCTCATGTTTACTGAATGCACCTCTCCTCAAGAGTTTGTTTTTCTGGGCATCACATAAAGGACAACCGCAAGACCAGGAAAAAAATCCTAATCCAAATATACAAGTGCTAAAATATGTCTTCAGGCTTCGTGTGTTGTACACAAACCTAGACAAAATAACAAAATCCACGTCTGAACTGTTTCATGACTTATTTACATTTGGACTGCTTTAGGAATAACAGGTTGAGAGAGTGTTGAGACTGCTGAACTTTGATTAATGCACTTCTTTTTACCAAGTGTACTGCTCATGTGAATAAGTTCTAATTAATACATTCAAATACTAAAGTCTAGTCTTAGATTCTGTCTAAAATTCGTCCATTTCTCACTTAGCAAAATGTTAACAACAAAACTAAAAAAAAAAGGCATTCATTTCAAGGCTACTGTTGTGAATTACACAAAGTTTTTTATTTTCTTTCCTAGTGCTCTCTTTCCTCTCTCTGCTCCCTTCCCCCTTCTCCCAGCTGCTGTCAGTAAGTCCATGCTGTGTCCAGGGCTCCATATCTTTTAACAACCTTCACATTCATGATTCCCATAGGGAATGGCATCCAGCTGGTCTGGATCACGACGCTAGGACACGACCAGAGCACAACATCAGCACTCCACTCCTCTCTCACACTGTCTGTGAGTGGAAAGCTTTTTACCAAGAGGGAGGAGACACAGTCAAATAAATCATTTTGGAAGTGGGGCAGTCAAAAAAGAGCATACCCCTCTGGTTTGTATTATATTTACAAATTGCATATATGTATTGTGAGAGGATTTACTAGCAGTCCAGTTGTTTTTACGTGACTTTCCATACACAGAATGTGTAATACAGAGAACTCTACATGAAACCGGCACTGTGAAATTATGACCTTGTCAAGCCTGTTTTGGCTGAGAACAGTTTCTGCTTGTCAAACCAAGGGATGCCTGACATAGTGACAGCACTACATTTCAAGAGCTACGTGATTTTGTTTTTATCTGTTGCCCCTCATTATGAATGTTATTTTAAAATATCTCTCTTAATGTTTATCTCTATCTTATCACACCCTAACTTCTGCTATCTGCTTCACCACAGCCTCAGCAGCACAACTCTCAGGGGTCCAGCCCTTCTTCTTTGTGACCAGTGAGACAGGGGTTAAAATACCACAGTCTACACTAACACACAGCGGGTGGATGCAGGCCTGCAGCTGTCCACAGCATCACGTCATACTGAGACTTACTGAGAGGGTAACAAGCGGCAGTGAGAAGGCTCTGACTTACTGTAATATATTGTTACTATCAACAGTATAAGTTACAATCTGCATATGCTCAAAGTATAGGCACTTGATATCTATCTGGATATGGTATAAACATGCAGAAATAACAAACAGCTAGCTGACATGCAACGAAAACAGAAAACTGACAGAAACACAAACATAAAACAGATTTAAACACGCTTACAGATATCAATCATAGTCACCAGTGTTGACAAGGACATCTTCCGTGTATCACAGGATGAATTCTTTGACTGACAGCCCTAACTAAACCTTCCCTTCAGCCTTCAGCTTGTCAGTCAACAGTAGAGAGGTGAGGCCCACCCCTCTTGTGAAAGACAAAACCAATCAGAGTTTGACAATCTCCTGCCACTTAGTCACAGAGCAGGCAATCACCTGAACGAGCAGAAGCCAAAGGAATCTGCAGGCTGCCTGTCGACCTCTGCACTGTGCTTTTGAGGCCCTAGTAAAGACGTCTGTGTGTGGGTAAGATGCTCATCTGGGGCTGCCTGCGGGCGCCAAAGGAGAAGGACAGAGAGGGTAAAAGGGAGGTGAAGGGGGACAGTGAGAGAGAGAGACCAGGGGTGGGGGGAGATTAGATGGCTTCTAGTGTCTCCTCCCCACACACCATCAGCCCAAGACAGCGACTGCTCATTTATCAGTGTCGCTGAGAGCTTTCCAGCTGGCAGTGCAGCGCTATCTGTTTATTAATTGAATTAGCCTGCATCCGAAGAGGCCCATGAGTGTCGGAGTACAGAGGCAGGTCAAAGAGCTGAGGGGCCACTCCATAAGTCTTAGTGGTGATAGTTATAAACAGGATAGAGACAAAACAAAAGGACTGTGCATGATTACAGAACAGATGCACTGAAGATCACACTAGTTTCACCAAACAAAATATAATATTATGTTGCTGAACCAAGACAGCATATCTGAAGCATAACCTATCCCACAACCAGCTCCAAGAGATGAAGGTACAGCAGGAAAAAACAACAGACAACTTAAATAGGTGGCAGGTGTTATATCAAGACAGTCAAATTAAACTGTAGAATCTAAGAAATAGTTAAAAACTGTGTCAAAAGAGAAAACCCTTACAAAAGAGAAAACCCTTACCGTGACATACACTTATTCCTGAAGCTATCTCTGTGCCTGCTACTGCTCCATCTGGAGTTGAGACTCCAGCTCGGTTAAACCCACCCTGGCCGAAACTTAAGTCTTTGTATCCAGAACCACAGTGACGCAACTACAGGACGTTAGCAGAGCAATGATGAGCAGGCTGTGATTCTTAAACACCTTCATCAGCTCCCTAATGACTCTTTAACACATGGTTGTATTTCCCCAGACTGTGCTAAGCTGAAGAACTTAACCACCATGTGCATTTCACTCTAATAACACACACACATACATATACATTTATCCTGCAGAAACATGGCCGCTACAGAAAACAGTCATTAAATCCGTGCAGGTGTTAGCCTGTGGCGGTACAGGGTGCTCACAGTCTGTCCTACCACTGTCTGCCCTGCTGTTGTTGAAGAGTGGAAAACACAGCAAAGACACAACAAGAGGATGAGTAGTCCATGACACCATAAAGACATGTCAGTTCTACCAGGATAAATGTGTTATATATATGTGTGGGTGTGTGTGTGTGTGTGTGTAATTGCATGATTTGACACTACAGTTCATGCATTCTGTAAGTGTACTTAAAGTAGTAAGCCATTGATTTTCCATTGTTAAAACACCATCCCTGATTCAGCCATCTTTTGCCCAGAGGGGAGCTATCTCCTCTCAGACCTTTGCCCCCGGACCTCTCTACTCCCATTTCTTTTTTTTAGGCCTCTCTCATTTATGTGGTTTCAGGGATACCAGGTGATCACCCATTAATGCTATTTATTAATGGCTGCTTCGTCTCTGACATGGGGGGCTTTGAGTGATGTCCCTGTGAGTGCTCTGGGCACATCCTGAGAATACACTCAGGTTTCTCCTCACCAGATGACTTCATATCTATTAACCCTGGGCGGAGGAAGCAAGTGCATGGAGCAGGTACAAAAGCAACAGACCACGCCCGTCTCAGGATGGGTAAATCAAACCCATTGAGGTCAGGGTGAGCACTTTTATTCCCCTTAAAAGTGGAGCAGTGTACTATCAGAGGACCTGTGGCCCTCTGGCGCCTCACAGTAGGTTAGACAGATTTAACCTGTCTGTGGAGTCATAGTTTAAGTGCAAAAAGATCAGAGTTTCAAATGGAGACCTTCCGCTTCACATTAAAGAGTCTATTGAGAAACATTAAAGCTTTACTTGTCTCTGTCGGTCTTTCGTTAACACTATACTACCACAGTAATCGTGTGTAAGCATACAACATTTGTAATTGCATAATATATTATAGCTGTAGCTGGCAGTATTGTTGTGGACCTGGGCCCCCTAACTCGCACTTTAAACCCGACATGGGTTCACCATCTGCAGTTGAAAGCAGAGTTTGGCTCTGCCGCTTTGCCAAGCACTCAGAGGATCTAATTCCATCCTCCTCATCTCCACCACCACCACTACCCACCAGTGCCTGTCTGCAAAACCCACTCTCTGTGCCCTAAAACTCCACACCCCCATTAGTTCAATTTTATTAGATTTCCCTCTCGCCCAGAGAGGCAGTAACAACCCCCCCCCCTCTCTCTCTCTTTCTCTCACACACACACACCTCTTCCCTGTTCCTCCACCCCCTCTCCCTCTGCTTGCCAAGAGCTGGGGACTGTTAAACTGATTTCCTCAGGGAACGGCGAGGCAGACAGTCTGATGGGAGCGCTGGGCTGTAATGTCGCCCCCTCTCTCCTCTCTCAGGTTCTGGGCCAAGCTGATCAGAGCAGGGCCGAACAGAGCCTCCCTGTGGTTCCAGACACAGACGGGTAGATGGACATAGACCGGCTGTTCTGCCAGGGCCTGACGCTCTGGTGGTGCTCGGACGAACCGTGGCAGTATGGGCGCAGCGAGACACACGCCCACTGAGGAGCATGCTCCAAAGCATGCGCTCATACTCTTGGCAGCTTCTCCACCCTGTCAAGTTAATGGATGGGCCTCTGACTCCAGTCTGTATATCCCCACTGTTCCCTCCATTGTAGAGCCCTGCTCTAGTGCAGCCTACATGGTTATCACTACACCCACTGCCACAATCTTGAACACAGAGAATGCCTCAGAGTGAGACAGACAGAGCGTGAATACAATAATAAACACTAACATATGTCTTAATTTGTGGCATC